TCCTGTTGCAGACTTTCTTGCAACAAACGGTCGCAATCACCTTGAATTCCCCCTGTAAAAACAAACCAATTTAAACCGCCTGGGTCGTTGATCTTACCAGCGAAGACCTTTTTTAAGTGCCCGACCAGGCGGATAAGGGAGGCACCCTCTCATTGTTTCGTTTTACCCGTTGTCTAATCTGACACGGGTTCCTATAGTGGTTTGTGGCGTATTGTGCAAAAAAGGGCTCAGTACTACAGTGATTAGAAATGATTAGAACCACAATTAGCTTGCTCATTTGGAGCAGGCTTGCTCATTTGGATCAACTAAAAAGGGTCGATCACGCAACTTCTCAAGGGGCTGATGGCAGTAGGCTACTTGGCTCCAAAACCTGTAAGTTTTTAAACTTAATTCCCCTTTTGGAGGCCAATATCTCCCCGTCAAGGACTGACGGTAGTGGTGCATGTGTAATTAGAGCACACACTTGTGACTAATTGTGACACTTTGGTTACATTAAAAATTAGTTTAAAAGAATAATTAACAGGACTTTTTCCGTCACTTTTATCATTTCAATTCTCAGTTTAAGCTTAAGGATTAAGGATTATTAGGAAAATTGCATTTGTAGGTTTAGAATTGAAGTGATAACTTTTCATGGGAAGGTGAATGGATTTTTCTCGGTCACGGCGAGCCGTAACGTCGGCTCCCACTCCGGCCTCTTCACGCCTGAGGCCTGAGGCTTGGGACGCACATATGCACTTTCAATTCGACATTTTTTCCTTAGTGCGGGTGCATCTGTAGATCGGATACATTTTTCAAATACAAAATGCGTTATTAAACTGACAGTAATTTTGATATATCAATTATTGAGTGTGATATTATTGTGTTCGGTGCAGTTTATTTTATAACGCTGATAACAAATTAACAAGGGAGAAGCTGCAGATACTGCAAATACTAGGTAAAGGGTGCTCATGTACTAAATGCCTGTTCGAGTTTCGCCTTCTTATAAATTTCCAATTAAAATACACACACAATTACGGATGCGGATCGTCCATAAATTTGCAGAAAAATGTATTACAAACTTTTGAAAATGAGATTGCCCATTGCCGTGTACTGTTAAATTTTGTTTTAAGAACTAACAATCGATGATTCGACACACAAAATTGTGCGTAAGATCCACTACAATAAAGTTTTTGGAAAACTGTTGGACCTATTTTAAATCGCCTGATTGATCGCGGACGCAACTTCTTATTATCAATGATTAACTGTGTTTACCACGCATCAAAAAATTTTTTTTCGCTTCATATACCCTTTGATTCCTTTATGATTAAATTTTCTCAATTTAGTTTAATTTTTTTAGTCTTGGATTAGTTCAGTTTGAATATATTTTTTTAATCTACGCGCGATGGCTTACACGATGTATGTATACATATAGTGTGTCAAGTGTAACCTGTCTCCATAGCTCTTCCTCGTTTTACCGTATATTTTAAACAGATAGAACGTCTTCAAATCACCAAAATTATTTGATTTTTTAATTCTATCCAGATACAACTTGAAGCAGCGAAAAGTATTAAGTAGAAGAATATTAACCAGAGCCTAAATACTGAACGTATAAAACCCGGGTTTGAGCATTTACTTTTAGGCAACGACCATACCACTGTCTTTTTGCTTCTTTGTAATGTAAACAAATGTTGCTAATAAAAGATATTTTATATTCAAAAGGAAATTACATTACATTTTGCCTATTCCTGATCTATTTATAAATTATTCAACCAAGGATAATAATAAAATTATAAAATAAAATTATCATTGGCATCATGCGTTCAACAAGTTCGATATTATGGTTTCTATCACTAGAATATGAAGTTATCACTTTTGTCGAGCGTCCCGTGACGCACACCATTTTTTAGTTATTAAACGGTTTTTTTATCAAATATTGTTGGTGTTTTTGTCGTTGCAGTTTTTATTAAAGCTCAGCACGGATAAAATTAAAATCCACCCTTGGAAAAATAGTCACTTGATCGTTTGTTGTTACGTCACAAGGCTAATTTGTGACGTCTTCGATTATTCCACTGATAAGCTAAAATTGTCAGTGCGAATCATCCAGTTCCTTTATAAAGTGTTAAAAATCGTCTTAGCACCTAGTACGAGGCGTATTCTTATTGTTATTAAGTTTCTCTTCTTCTTGTGAAATTAGGCACTGTCCGCTTTGTTCCTATTCCTTCGTTTTGATTTCTTTTTTGTTATCGTGTATTTTGGAATTCTATAATTTTCAGCAGCAGTCTTAAACTTTTTCTGCCTTGTCGGACATCTTCGAGTGCCCTAACGACGTTTTCTTCATTATAGTTAAATTTTCTTAAAATTAATACCGACTGTCTTTTTATACTGTCTAATATCGGTGTCCGCCTTCACCTCTATAAAATTACTTTTTCTTACTAAAACACAATTATTTATGACAAAAAACAATATTTTCTAATGAAATTGCCATGGTGTACTAATAATAGAGCACACCAGGAAAAATAATCATTATAATAAATAATGAGATAAAGAAAAAAATACAATTCATAAAATCCTCACCCTGTGTTCCACGGCGAATTTATCTAGCGAAGATATATATTAACTATTAATGACTCTAGGAACTTAACTAACGGGAGTATAACGGTTGGGTACATTTTTACGCGGTGCATCAAATGATCTTGACGAAAATATTGACCAATAACAGTCGCCACAGTCCGACTTCACCCCGAATACGGTACATATTACTTATTGGAATATGTTGTGTGAATTTGGTTTCAATAGAAAATTTGAATATTTTATTATAGGTTGGTTAACAATTAGCAACGATCAAACTGCAAGTTATTGCAAAATATGCAGCACAGAATTAAGGTCTCATAGGGCAGATTTGGAAAAGCATAGCAAGACGACTAAACATAAACAAAAAATAGTACCATTAAATAAAAATCAACTGACTATGAAAAATTTAGGTAAGTTCCTTATGATGGTAATCGATTCATCGATGCACGATCTGCATATACAAGGTGTTTTATCAGGAAGGGGCATTATTTGAACCACGCATTCTATAGTATATTTTTATTTGAAATGCAAAAAGGATGTCAATTTCGGTATCGTCCAGGTATGCACGCCAATGGCAAAATTTAGAAAACTTATTTTATTACAAACGTGCGTCTTCTCTAGCTATTCATGCCCGGAATATTTTGATAATACATCTCCGTGCGTTTTGAAGAAATTTCTCATTTTGTATTTTTTAAATTAAATTAACGCCCTGTAAATCCGTAGCGAAACAATTTTGGACTATCGTTTATATAGCAAGCAACAAGTTTATATAGCAACGTTTATATAGCAATTTTGTTAAATCATAATACCTACATCTCGTGAAATAATACACCTTGAATAATGCATAATGGCTAGAATTGCTTTAATGTGACTTGGGAGCAAGGGAAATTTCTGGTTGGTAAAGTTTTTGCCTTATGACGATTTGCCTGCTAAATACTTAAATGTAATTAAAATATCTTGTACCTCAATGTAATGACAAAAATGCAATGATCAAATAGTAATAATCAAAAACTGCATTTACAATTGTAGTTTATACACATTTGTATAACATTTTAGGAATTACTACGTTGAACCTCATACGGAAGCGAAAATAATTGATTTTGGCCAGCTATGTTGCTATGCATACTTCAATAAGAAGTATTGATTATTTAACGGATATAATAAATGATTTAACCATTAACAAATTATCTTCAACGTCTTCGGATTTCGCTGGAGATGAGGATAAACTTCAGCTTCATAGAACAAACTGTTCAGCATTAATAAAATTTGTTATAGCACGATCTTTGCATGCTGATTTGATAAAAGATATAGCAAATGCACCATTTTCAATTATAGTAGATGAGTCTACAGACGTGTCCACGTGAAGTTGGGAAGTCCTACGTGAAGTACTATTCGGAATCAAAAAATATCGTAATAACACAGTTTTTGAAATTTTTTAAAGTTGTTTACACCACAGCTGATGTTTTATTCCAAACTGTAGTAGATTACTTTAAATCAGTTAATTTTAATTTAAACAATCTGGTAGACATTGGTACAGATGGTGCAGCTAATTTGTGTGGAAAAAATAACTCACT